GGTATGGTAGCAATTGGTGGGTATTGTTTGATGTCGGTGCTACTGGGTTTTGACAGGGTTCAGTTGGTTTGTTGTTGGTATGGCAGCAGTGTGGTGGCAGGTGGCTGCAACGTGGAGAAGGAGCTGGTGGGTTAGGGTTAGGGTTAGAGTTAGGTTATGGCTCTGATACCAACTTGGAATAAACGTAAGTGAAAAGGGATACTCAAATTAAGAGTAGAGCCTCGTATATATATCCAAAAATAATACAGAGTGACTTAAACATCCTTGTAGTTTAGGCAAAATATAAAAATCATAGTAAGGGTAAAAAAGGGAAAAGAAATCCTAATAAACTAGACTATCTATACTCCAACACATACTAAAATATTTTCTTAAAAAAAAAAAAAAGAGTCCGAAAAAGAGATATGAAATGCAGAGATGAACCTGGTGGTGACTAAGTAACACTGGTTTCCTTTTGAGAGGATGTGTGTAACAACTAGTGAAACAGCGACAGTAACTTGTAAATGAATCAATAAGCAAATTGACTTCAAAATCACAGGCATAAACTTAAAGATTCTTCCATAAAGTAGATTGCTTTAGGTTAATTAAAACCATCAGATGGGTAAACTTGCTACATTTTTTGACTGGAGAAATTTTACTTTCTCTAGACATTGCAAACAATTACCTCGCTTCATGAACCCTTCCGCCAGATGAAGTCAGTTACAATATAAGGGCAAAGAATTTCCAAACATAATATTACTTATCAATTTGGATATACTCATAATTAAGCTACATGCATTATGAAATCACCCCCAGCTTGAACATGGAAAAAAGATACAATAGAGGATAAACAATCCTAAATCAGGGCTTTTTTTTTTGGTTAAATAATCCGATGAGTAAGTTAGTGGTACTCCTAATTCAAGGCTTTTGCAAATATAGAATCATCACTATGGAAAAAAGGAATGTGGTTAATGAGAATGAGGATCCTACACAAAGAGCCTACTTCGACATCCCCCTAACTCTAATACATGGAGAGGGTAATTAATGACTAGATCGTATTTTCACGACCAAAACCATGTCATTGAATCCAGTGTAATTAATGAAACAAGAAAGCCTGATGTTGTTATCAGCTTTTTCCTCAGCATATGTCGGGCATTAATACATTTAGAGAAGCTTTTAAGATGTAGCAGTGGCCAACAATGGGCAAGGGCTGCTCATATCAGATCAATAAACAAATAAATGAAAGCACATGAATAATTTCTCATGCCACTGATATTTGGAGAAAAAAAAAATAATCTCTCATGACATGAATAATCTCTCATGCCACTGATAGTTGGAATGTGTCTCCGATCAATTGAGCTTGTCAATTGTGTTTGGTGAGCCGACTTCTTGTCGGGTTTTAACAGGTTCATATCAAAAAATATTTCACTCATACTCGATTCATTTATGAATTCATGTCTATTGAATCGTATTATATCAAGTTCGTGTAATATATGAATCGTGTATAACCGATATTTAAATGAGTTGTGTCGTATATTTTCTTTTGATTGATTTTCATTCATACTCGATTTGTTTATTAATCGTGTTGTGTCAGATTCACTCATTTACGAAACGAGTAACCTAAAGAAAACTTAAACCCTCTAATTCTGTATTGTATTAACTAGTTGTGTCATATTTTGACATCCCTACGATCAATTCCAACACTTTCTAACTTGACCATAAAATATAAAACTCGCTAAGGTGCTAAAAAATATAGTTTTGATGCTATAATCTTATACATTTATTGTAATATCAACTGAAAAGCCCAACCATGTTTTGGTCTACAGTCATCCCAATTTGAAAAGTTTGGAGCACATACCATGGCTGATCTGATTCCTTGAATGTATATGAACATGCTTCTTTAATAAAGCACCTAGGCTTAATATTCATTTTTTGGTATCAAAATGTTACTTTGCTTCTTTGTAGTGGAATATTCTATTCCATGTTCATAACACAGGATTCCAAAGAGCCCAACATGAAATGTAGAAGAAGCTTCATACCTCTTTTGGATAGCATGATGATTTTTAATCACATTTGAAAGTGAAGGCACGTGTGTTCTGATGATATTCATAACTTCCTGCCAAGCTGCCACCATGAGGACGACTCGTTGACTGTTGTCTTTTTTTATAATTGATGGGTTTGATGACAATATTTAAAAAAATTAGTATCGTATTATTTATTATTTCATTGGGTATCTATATTATTTTTTGGATAGAATATTTAATCAATTTTTAGAGTATATTATTGTAAATAGTTTTGAGATAGATGTTGGTGATCGTTAGATGAATCTATTTGAGGCCGGTGGCTGAACTTATTAAAGTCTTCATTATTTTATATTATAGATTTTCATTTACCATTTTTAGGTGAAGCTTATCACTTTTTGATGAGAAATTTATCACATTTTTATTATTTTTTATTTTTCGATCAAGTACCAAAAAATAAAAATCAATAATTAGTGTTCTTCAAAACTGATTTGCATTTCTTACTGTTTGTGATACTTTTGCCATCATTGTGTCCTTCTCTCTCTCTCTCTCTCTGGCTCGGTGAATTTTTTTTCCTGGTATAGTGGTGATTGTTGTTGCCTGGAGTGAGCTACGGTGACCAATCGCTGAATTTGAGAGAATAATCGGTGTAAATTTGAATACCATGTAACAAAAAAGAAAAAAAAAAGTCAAATTGCAACTATTGTATGTTTCTCCCAGCAAATTAATTAGCTTAATGGCTCCGTAAAATCCCAATCCTTAATCATTGATCAAAAATTAAAAGTAAAAAAAAAGAAGAAAAAACATGAGAAATCGACGAATTGAAGGTAAAATTTTTTAAATTATTAAAAAGAAAGTATTGCTAAATCCAAGTACTTAGATACCTTATGTGGTTGTTTGGTAATGAGGTATGGAGAGCCTGACAAGATGAGTTTGAGAAAAATAGTAAAAGAATCTTCAAACCCTGTGTTTGGATTAAAAATTCAATTATGAATTTTTAAACCCAGTCCGTAATTGGTCCGAATATTAAATTCATGATCATAAATTTCGTCAAACTTAAGGCGGTGGATTTGGAAGGATGGGTTAAGGGGTAAAAGATAATTGTATCCCTTAATATAAATATGAATTAGATTGATCAAGGGTAAAATAATTATTTACAAGACAAATAGTTGTTAATAATTATGATATATTCACGGATCCTACATATGTATGTGTTGCATACTAAATATAGGTATAGACCAGATTTAATGTTGAATTTCATCTTTGTAAAGAGAGGTTTGAATTTAGAAGGATTCGGAAAAGCCAATCCAAACTCTTTCCAAAAATCCATCCAAACAAACCCATGTATGTGCATCCCTTTGAGGGTTGCATTCAGCTCCTCTCTCTAGCGCAGATTCGGCTTTAATATTTGACTATTCTTTTACATTTTATTATAATAGCAATTTAATTAAGTTTCTTTGTAATAGTGATCCACTGCGGCATGCGAAGGGGAAAAAAAAAACTATTCAATCAATGGAAGTTTAATTTGAATTAATAGCCAATAATGCACAAAAGACCACTATGATGCATGACTTCCAAACTTTCATAGAGCATATAGAGCAGTCTGAGGGGATGGTTGTTCTATTTGTCCAACCAAAATTTGTTTATGGCATTGAATAAGGTAGCTGTAGAGGCACATTACCTGTTATATATTTCCCTTCATCATCAATTAAAGACAAAGACTAATGAGAAGAAAGAGGTGCCTTCGTCTGTCAATTCTCTGGCTTTGATCTTGAAAGAGTGAACCAATTAATTGGCACATGAACTTGCTTATATTGCAATGGCTCTTGTCAAACGTAGGAGATAGTAATTTGCTTGATGGTGATAATTTGCAAGTTCTTCAGAAAGGACATTGGCACCTCGTAGAAAAAAAAAAGAGTTTTGCAATAAGTGAGCTTGGCTTCTTTAGTAGTCCATTTTATCTTGCTCGGCTGTCGAATCATGAATTCCTCAGAGTGGGGTTGGCTGGCTAGGCATACAAAGAACAGTTGAAGGACTGTCTCAATGCACCACAGCCACTCTTTTAACTACTTTTAAGCAATTATGAAGTCCATGAGACTTTATGGGCAGCAAATCACTCTTTTTAAGTTTTCTATAACTATTTCTAATCCATATAAACAAGGACGGAGTCAAATATCCATCACAGTGGAGGCAAAAATATGAGCAAAAAATTTTATCAAATGGTATTAAAATTTTTTTTTTTTTGAACCTCCGTGAAAGACGATTGAATTGAGGGTTATTTTCAAATAAAGAATTCTTAAGCTAAAATAAAAATAAAATATTAAGATATAAGATTTAATTATTACGTAAAAATCAAGAAATTAATGTCAATCTAGACGATATTGTCTTTGGTAAATATGTATGCGTAAAGGTATTTTATATTTATTTTACTCAATTAAAATATATGTTTTCATAGATTAATTAAGGGAGTGGGTGAACCATTGACCTACTAAAAATAAAAAAAATTAGGGCACTATATAAATTTTTAAAAATTTATGGGGGCAACATATAAACTTTTAAATTTATGAGGGGCATCATTCTTTAAAATTTTAAACAACAATTTTATGGGCTTTTGCTCAAAATTCAGTGGGGTCAACTGCCCCTGCCATTAACATGTACCTCCACCCTGCATCTAAACTTCTCCATTGATAACGTACCCCTTAAGGAAAACAATAAAAAGAGTAATAATATTATTTTAATTTGTTGTCTTTTAATTGGACGATGACAATGGTGATGACGTGGTATTACCATTGCAATGAATATTTTGTCCAACTTCACGTTTCCTTGTCAGATCTCAGCCCCGGTAAATCGCTAATTTAAGATGCGGAGAACTTAATAGGGAACCATTTAGAAGCCCAAAAAATAAAGGGAGGTAATTGTAATTAAGGAGGCGCGTCCAGCTTAAGCCGTAAGCTAAGAAAGGCGGTTTTGTTCTTGGCCCTGCACCATATATATTCGAAGCTATGTTCTCTGCGGTTGCCTACAATACAATTCGCTCATTTCAAACACCTTGACCACCGTCAACTATCTCTCTTCTTCGATCAGTCTGTACTCTCTTTTTTCTCTCTTCAATGGCCGACTCCACCACCAAGGCGACAACATCGGAGACCAAATCGACTGAGGTCAAGCGCTCATGGGGCGATGAAGCTGAAGAAGCCACCACCACCACCAAGGCGACAACATCGGGGAACAAATCGACTGAGGTCAAGCGCTCATGGGGCGATGAAGCTGAAGAAGCCACCACCACCACCAAGGCGACAACATCGGGGAACAAATCGACTGAGGTCAAGCGCTCATGGGGCGATGAAGCTGAAGAAGCCACCACCACCACCAAGGCGACAACATCGGGGAACAAATCGACTGAGGTCAAGCGCTCATGGGGCGATGAAGCTGAAGAAGCCACCGACGAAGCTGAAAATTTATCGCTGGCCGAGGAAAAATTATCTTCTGAAGTCCAAATTGATTCTTTAGCCATCGACGAATCGAAGAAAATCAATAAATTTCTCAATGATCCAGAAGATACCAGTATCGAAACCGTACTTCTCTCTCCTTTCGTCTCTCTGAAGGTCTAGGTTTTTAATTTTCTATTTGGATTTCGATTAATTTTAGACTGTTTGATATTAGGTTAGTTCTGATGGTACTATATATTCGTCGGCGAAAAGCTTCGAGGAGTTGAACTTGTCTCCGGAATTGTTGAGGGGATTATATGTAGAGATGAAATTTGAGAGGCCGAGTAAGATCCAAGCTGTTAGTTTACCCATGATATTGACTCATCCGTACAAGAATATGATAGCTCAGGCACACAATGGGTCTGGTAAGACCACTTGTTTCACGCTTGGTATGTTGAGTCGGGTCGATCCCAAATTCCAGGCTCCTCAGGCTCTTTGTATTTGCCCTACAAGAGAACTGGCTATTCAGGTAATGTGTTTATTGTATTTGTATGCACATATTGTGAATAGACAAGTGGTTTTTGTTTTTCTTGGAGACTCTGTATATGTCTGTTTTCGTATCATTTCCGCTTCATTGGCTTTGAATAATGATTATTATTCGCAATAGTGGTTGTATTCATTCAGCATTATGTTTCTGTTAAGTGCATATGCATCATTTTTGACGGATCCTTGAAAAATTGTTGAAGGGGATCTTGTGCTAGTGCATTTAAGGAAGGAAAGATTTCCTAAGGGCACCTAGCACATCCATCACCCAATCATGTAAAGGCCGGACTAAGACCTGAAACAGAGGATTTGCAATGGCAAAGACCCTCACCTTCCCACTACCCTCTAGCTTTACTTCGAACTCAATTGATCTTTTTGAGGTACTTTATGCAGGACTAAAGACATCCTTCGAGAATGGAGGGTCGTCTAGACTCTCTGGCGGTCTTATATAATTGTTTGTATACATGTGATTCTTGAATCTTTTTGTTGGTTGGCCGCCAACTAGTGGTATATTTTCTCTTGGGAATTGGGATTGCAAGTCTATGCTCAACTGATGGTGTTGCCTAGGTGTGAGTAGGTTTAGATTGTGGCATTAAGTGGATAATTGGTGTGTTCTGAAATTTTTTTGAAGATAATCTTTATGTCGAATTATTTTTTGTTTACTGTTCGAACATTTTGTGCATTTACGTGGATGATTGTGCAGAATGTGCAAGTTCTTCAGAAGATGGGGAAGTACACAGGGATAACAACTGAATGCGCTGTGCCAACGGATACCGCTAATTATTTGCCCATTTCGAAGCGAGCGCCTATCACTGCTCAGGTAGTGATCGGCACACCTGGTACGATCAATAGGTGGGTTACAGCGAGGAAATTGGGCTTGAGTTCAATGAAGATTCTTGTGTTTGATGAGGCAGATCACATGTTGGCGGAGGTATTCTCATAGATTTTCTTGGACGCTGTGTTCAAGCATCTTTTTTTCACATGCATTTTATTTATTAACTTTACACTTGTAACAGTTTATATTGTCTGTGAAATCTTCTCATTCTATAAAGCTAATTTGTCCATTTAACTCTATACTGTCTAGTTGACCTGTGGGTGACTTGTTTTCGGGCCCTACAAAAACTGAGATATCAGCAACTAATATGTGTTACTTATTAATATGAATTACTTAAGGAGTGTTCCTTGAATATTTCTGCTTCATGTGCTTGATTTTGGGTTGTTTTTTTGGAGTTCTTGTTATCTATTTTTCTTTTTTTGCCTGGAGATGTTTTTCATTTTTTAAGAATTGTAAGATGTCAGGCTTTGGTCATTGCTGTGCTACAATAACTTATGGATATGTTTT